CCCCGATACCCACCTTTCCGTCAACGTGCACTCCCATTCTACAATTGCAGAATGTTCAACAATAGATTTCCACCAGTACAAGGAAGAAGACCCTATGGCTATGGAGCACCATCATATGCACAATATAGACCCCTTTCGATAAGTGATGCTCCAGCTCCTGCACCTCCCGGCACCTTCGCGAGAGGAAGGATCAATTCTCCAGGGATTCACTTACTGTGTATCATGACTCTGATACTGTGCAGTGGATTCACAATTGCGAAATACCAGATATGTGGCACAAACCCATATTCGAACATCTTTTCACTTCCAGAATCATTCGATTGTACAACTCCGACAAACGCACCCATGCTACGAACTACGATGCAACTGTTTGCAAATATTTCCAATCCATTCTGGAGTAATGCAACTAAGTGCTACAGAGATGCCATTGAGGTATCTATAAGCAGTTTTCTCCGTATTCGTACTACCACCACCATATTGCGACGTCGCCAGTTGTCGATCCCTCAAGAACTATGCGCAACGGCCAGGACATCAAGAAAAATACGTGATCATGAATTGATTCTGCAGTCGGACGGATTATGGACCATTAATGAAATAGAGGAAGATGACATTGCGATACCACTATGGGGGACCAGGAACTATCTTCGCAGTGTATACACTGTAGAGGAAGGACAAGTCGCCACTTTCGACGGACAGCACATCATGAGTCCATTGGGCGACACCGAGAACTGCTCGTACAGCCAAGGATACTGTCTCACACAGGAATACAGGATTATATGGAAACCAACTGAAGTCACACCTTCCTGCAGATTCAAACATGTTGGAACTTTCGAAGCATTCGTTACCCTAAACTACATAGTCCTTCCCCACCCCGACCTCGTCTTCCAATTTTCTGAGGATTACCTTCTGCATGAACAACTCACCAGATACTGTCAGTTGGGCACCAGTTACCTTACGACATCGAACCATATCATCACTTTTCCCCAAGTCCCACAAGACCTTACCATCCAAGATTATGTATTGCGCATGGCCCATCAAGGAAGAAGAACAAAGCGTGCTATACGACATCTTACGGATAAAAATGGTAACATCTTTCCGTTTGAAATTGTGCCGATGGAACCTGTATTTCTGACCAAGCGATTGTTTGGTGTAGACATCTCAGAAGAATTCCAGTTTTCAATACGCGCCCGATAACATGGAACAAGATCCTCTACGAGCTAAAACAATGGAATATTACTAATAACGATCTTACTCGGGCGACCCGGTACTATAAAATGGATGATCCAAGGCACAGATGATGTTCTACGTACGATACGGTACGGCGAATATCGCATGAAGCAATCAAATTTATTTGCGGAATCCGCGAAGGTAACACCTCCAAATTATGCCGTGACCAACATCCGACGAGACCTAGAACTGGGTATTTCTCCGATATTCGACGATTATCTTGAGAAGGAGTTTGGAAGAATCGAATACAACATGCCAGGATCGTTAGACTCAGAATGGAAGTCTAAAATCCCCTATTTCAACGTCACCTTAGCAGCGCTGGCAACGACTTCTCCGGCCTCGATAACTCCACCAACCACGCTAGGCAGTCCGACCATGATAACATCATCACCCCGAACAGTTCCCCTGACCACAACGTCACGAACTTCATCAGCGGTACAAACGACACCAGCCCCACAAACAACAACTCTAGGGACAACGACGACTTCACGAAGAACAACAACCTCTACGACAACAACAACAATACGAACAACGATGACGTCCGGAACTCCTATTAGGACATTCAAACCGACAACAACAATCATCACCTGTTCGAAATACTATGACGACGACGACAACTCTACCATCAACGTCTACCAGTCCAATCAAAACATCCTCTACAAAAGGGACCTTCTTTTCTACCACTACAACCAAAACTAGTAAAGCAGTATCGTTACCTCAATCGCCGGAGACAACACTTCTGATGAAACACCATACCCAACCATCAAGTACTTCGGAGAGAATGTCGACGATACCGACGAGTACTACCTCTTCCATTTCCCCATCTACAACGCCAGAAGTTCTATCACCTGTATTACCATACCCCACTACCCACCCTACAACCCGTAGTAGAGGCCGAAACACCAGCCTCCACCCCATCATGGGAGGAGATTTTGACGCGAACAACGAGATTTGTCTCTATGGATTGGACGGTACCAGTAGTGGATTCTATACTATCAACGGTATCAGTAGTGGATTCGGTATTGACATCAATTATACCTGCCTCAACGACGATCATACCAACAACGGCTGAGGAAGAGGAAAATGCTTCAACAGCAGTAGAAGCTGCAAACTTCTCTAAAACATCTTCAATATTTTCTGTGCCTACACAACCACCTGATAAGGAAAATATTTCCCCTCAAAATTTTGCGGTGCGACGTCAGTTTAATAATATCTGTGTCCGACAATACCTCGGAGCACAACGGATACGTACCCTAAGCTTGGTAGACCCTACATGGGCCGCCAGGATTCTGTTGGGAAGAACTGACATCACGGCCGTACGGACTGCGGACAACTTATTAATTACGAAATGTCGCCGAGTTACACCAACCTTCGTCTATAATAATCATACGGTTAGTGGAACATGTTACATATTGACACCCGTCAGGATTGACGAGGATCTTTGGTTTGAAATACCGGGAACACAGGATTTGATACAAACATCTGCCACCGTTCCCTGCCCATACTTATCACCAAAGGTTTCCAATTCGACACAGAAGCTTATACTGCCCAATGCCGTTATTAACGATAGAATGAAGCCTTTTCTTTTCGACACTCCACCTACATTCCACCGCCTGTTTGACAATCACGCCTTATCATTGATTCCACACATGGAGGCAATCAGACAGGAGCAAGCAAATGTATCTTGCGACTCCAGAAAAGAGGAATAATTGAAGAGACATTCTCATGGATACGGAATACCAGCATGTCCCTGGGTCAGTCTCTACTATCCCTTTATGAGTCAACAACACAGAAGCTTTCGGATGGCGTGGAAGACATCAAGTGATCAGTTATTTACACCATACTTTGGATTGCAATACCCGCCACTATTATTTTACTTTGTGTCGGAGCTTGCGTTATTTACGTGAAGCTCTATTTCCTTAGACGCGCGACTTCGACTGCCGCGTCAGCTATGTTCGACATCGCCAAGAACTTCACCCCGAAACGGAAGACTAGGAAGCAGAAACATAAAGTCAATTTAGTAATGGTGGATTTGCCACCAAGGGAAGAAGAACCTCTCTTCGTACCACATATCTATGCCATACAAACGGAAGTACAACATTTGCCATACTTGAAGGTCAAAATTGGCACTAACTCGGTCGCAGCGTTATTGGACAGTGGAGCAACTATATCGTACATGGGGGCATCAACGTTATCACTGATTGGAGGTATGAAATCGCCCACGGGAGCATCAAGAACAGCGACAACTGCAAATGGTACAATAATACAGTTGTCAGGTACCGTTTGTCTGCCAGTCCAGATAGGAACACATGTTATTTCCCATTGCTTCCATGTAGCGGCAGACAAGGATTGTCCAGTCCCACTTCTACTAGGATCGGACTTCATCCGTGCTTTAAAAGAAACGTCTACTGGTTTCCCTTGACCTCCATCATAAAACCATTCGAATAGGACCAGAAGATATAGACCTCGTGCCGATCAACTATATCACGCTTGCAGACACCTTACGAGATAATCTACGACCAATGGATGACATCTTTGTCATCAGCCGAGCTCTCGTTACGCCAAACTCAGACGGGACTTGCTATATTAACATTTTGAAGCCGTCAATGGCTAATATCTCGCTCCGCCGGAGATTCAAAGTAGCGATCGCATACCCTGCATGCCCATCGGAAGTTTCAGTGCAGCAATTAGAAACCCCATCTATTAAGTCTCCGAGAGATCTGGCTCGCGCTTCTGTTGCATACGTCAAGGATATCCCTCTGGACGACAGTACAAATGACGACTTCAAAATTCCACCAGAAGCAGACTGGGAAAACCAGTTGCCTTAGTTTCCAGCCATTCCGTAACCCCAGAACTATGACATCGCTAACGAGATTGATCTGTTCGCTCCAACTTAACGAGGAAACAAAAAGATCAATTGCGAGACATCATTAGATATCATAGCAACGCTTTCGTTGGACCAGATAGACAACTTTGACATTATAGAGGAAATATTCGCCATCGAATACCTCGTCGAAAATGCAACAATACCAGCCAGGAAGATCTATCGAATGCCCCTTGAAAAACGGCAGGAAATAGAGAAGCAGATAACTCAGATGTTGAAAGATGGAATAATTAGGGAATCCACATCTCCATTTTGTGCGCCGATCGTATTGGTGAAGAAACGTGAAGCAAACACCTGGCGCTTCACCATCGACTTTCGTGGACTTAATGCCATTACTAAACCACAGCAGTCTATCCTACCTAACATCCAGGATATTATTGATTTATGTGCTAATCAGTGTCTTTATTCGTCCCTTGATTTTCAACAGCGCTTTCATCAGATACCACTGGAAGAAGAACATTGCGAAAGGACGGCATTCGCATGCTTTTTGGGAGCATTCGAGTACGTTCGCATGTCGATGGGACTGAAAGGAGCCCCTGCCACCTTTTAAAGAATAATGGATGACTTCAGAAAGTTTTTGAAGGCAAGAGTCTTCATTTATATTGATGATCTAATTATCACTTCGGCAAGCCCACAGGAACATCTGGGAGATATCGATGAAGTACTTGGAAAGATTGAAATTATAGGGATGAAGTTAAAGGCATCCAAATGCGAGTTTGCGAAGGAAGAGATCAAATTTTTAGGATTTATCCTGAGCAAGGAAGGAATAAGACCAAATCCCAAAAAGACCAGAGCAATCGATCAATATCCGCAACCGACGAACCCTACGGAGGTTGAGTCTTTTCTAGGCATGTGCTCGTTTTTTCGGAGATTCATTCATAATTTCGCCATGATCGCTGCACCACTCATTGCTCTAACGAGTAAGAATATTCCCTTCACCTGGACATCGCAATGTACGGAGGCGATGGACCATCTTAAGCAAGCCCTAACAACGGCACCTATTCTTGCAGCACCACGATTGGGTAAACCTTTCATTATCGAGACTGATAGTTCGGCGAGAGGCGTTGCCGGAGTCCTCAAGCAAGAACAAGGAGGTTTAGAGCACGTTATCGCTTATGCGAGCCGCACTCTAAATAAACACGAAGCAAGATATCCGGCAATAGAACTTGAAGCCTTAGGATTGGTTTACGCGGTGCAGAAGTTCCGACTATACATAGATGGAGCGAAATGCACGATCATCACGGACCATGCACCACTCAAAGCACTACTCCATCGAAAAGATCTTACTGGGAGATTGGCTAAATGCCAAATCGTGCTGCAGGAATTTGATATCGACATTATCTATCGCCCAGGAAAGAAGAACGCAGTATGTGATGCGCTATCTCGACATTTACCGCCAGCTGTAAACGCTATCACGTCAATAGGGAAGGATAATGTTCAGCTAGATGCCATAAGGAAGGAACAAGACGAATGTACATGGATTGCAGGAATTAAGATGGCACTGGCAAATAACGAAAACACCGCGAGGTTATCCAATTACCTACTTATAAATGATATCCTTTACAGATTACCAAATTTTCTGTATCAAGACCCTTAAATAGTATTACCGGAATCGTCTCAAATTAAGAACGACATCATCGCTTTGGCCACATCAATCCCAACTAGCGACAGCACACTTGGGAATCAGCAAAACCCATGCTGCCGTCGAGAAAATCGCTATTTGGAATCACATGCGCAGGGATATCGCAAGTTTCATTAATGCATGTGAGCTATGCCTAACAAGGAAGGATCCGAGCGCTTATAGGATAAGAGAACCTTTGTGCCCGTTCGAAATACCGTCCAGGCCATGGCAGCGAGTTTCAGATGTGATCGGCCCTCTACCGCTGACATTGGATGGAAACAAGTACATTATTGTTTTCATAGACTCCTTCTCCAAATATATCGTCGAGGAACCAATACCTGATCAAAAGGCCCACACCACGTCACGCATCTTTATCACCCGCCTTGTAGCCAGGTTTGGACTACCACAAATATTGGTGACAGATCAAGGATCGAATTACATGAGCGAGACCTTCCGTACCCTTCTACAGAATTTACATGTCCAACATCGCACAAGTACCCCATACCACCATCAATCAAATGGACAAGTGGAACGCGTTAACCGCACATTAGAAGAACAAATCGCTATTGCTACTCGTCAACATAGTGATGAATGGGATTACGTTCTTCATCTTGTGGTTCACGCTTGCAACAGTGCGGAAAACGCCTCAACCAAATTTACGCCATTTTCCCTTGTCCACGGCTGCGACCCCACAAATATCTTCCACCTAGCGCTTCAGTTACCAACGAAGAAATATGTGGATACAGAAGATTATGTGGGCAATCTTGTCAAAATTCTGAAGGATACGTACCAAAATGTCTATTCGAACTTGATAAAGGCACAGGATCAACAGAAACGTCAATACGATCTGAGAGCAAGGACCCCAAAGACACAATATCAGATAGGAAAGAAAGTTTGGATAAGGAAAGATGCTGGACATAAACTTGCGACACGATTCGAAGGACCTTTTCCAATTATTGCTGTTGATCTACCTAACATTACCATTTTAGACGGCAAGCTCAAAAGGATTATTCATGTCGATCGGACGAAACTACATAAATAAGACCTTTTCAGAGCAAGAGAAGAAGACAGAAGATAAAAGAAGAAGAGAAAGAAAAAAAGGAAAAAAAACAAAAATTTTTCCCAACAACTATATCCATTTCTTTCTTTGTAATGTTGTAAAAAAAATTGCTATTCTTTTCATCTGATACGATAAGCATATTTCCACTCTTTTTGTATCATGACAATATTATGGAAATCACAGATTTGTAAAAGTTTTTGTGTCATTAATAATGTTAGTAACATTATCTTATAAGATGGAAGCAAGGAGAACTGTATGAGAACTGTAGACACACCATGTATCGCTCCTACTCCTCAGGAAGTGAACCAAGATGTACGACCCAACTTTGGCAAGGCATTAATGTATTGGCAAACATTGGCAGATCCACTGGACAATACCAGGACTGTAATGGCCAGACAGTCTCGGTTTAATGGTAAAGTCAATAACCAAAGAAACATCGACGATTATCCCGACGTCTACGGCAAGAAACAACCTAAGCTACTGCTGTCTCCAATTGGAATTCAGCCCCAATTGAATGACGGAGTATTTAGAGGCGCCTCGTAATTCCAGACTCCGTTTTTCAAGGCATCGCAAGGCATTGTCCACATTCAGGCACACTCTTTTCCCCTTAGTTAGAAGTAGTTTGATGTATTGGATATGATGACCGGTCTAAAGATAATGGTTGCGCAAGACGACCCGTATGCGGAATATGGACCATGTACAAGGCAAATGGCACTTTATTAGTTAGTTAGGATTTGGAACTCGCGTCAAGACACCGGCCGCGCAACCATTCCATTTGCCTTGGGCGCGAGCCGCATTGGACATGTATACAGTAGTGATGTGTGCACACAAAATGGAAAAGGATTTATTCATTTATGTGAATACGAAGTATCGCCGACCAGTTGATGCAGAAGATCCATCAAGAGAAGAAGCCTTTGACAACTCTCGATGCCCCTGAAAGGAACACCAACAAACAAACGCCGATTACCTTTGGAGTCACAATTCTCTAATAAACAGGTTGCGGGACGCAACCTTTCGATCCCCCGTAGATGTAACGTGCCTTGTCGAATATTCCGCGCATGTGCGAACAGCGGACTCTATGTTTATACAACGAGTGAGTAAGCAAACATTGCAACAGCGAAGCGATCGAACATGACGAAAACGAACTAGCAGAACAAGAGAAAGAAATTCATGGAAACTATCGAAGGATAATGGACCCGTTAGGAAGTTTGTGTATTTTCCATTAGGCAATGTTAACCTGAACCCCATTTTTATTATATGTTTTATGTGACTATGTATGCTCGTATCCATTAGTGAAACATATATATAAGAGACCGTAGGAAGCCTTCGGTGTGCATTCGTACCTTCTCTTATTCCTATTCGATGTAGTTTCTCAACTTTCCTTTTCGAACTCTCTTACTCTCGTCTCGTAATTTTGCAAGTAGCGACCGCACCTTTATTTATTCATATCGGCCGTCCTGATTCACCACCGTTGGCCGACGGCTCACTGCGATCTTTTGTAGTTTAGTTGTCTTAATTTGAAAGGTCACTTGTTTCGTCCTATTGCATGATCATCTCCTTGCTAATAAATAGTTGTTGGGAAATGGTTTTGTTGAGGCCGGCGAACATTGAATATCTCACACACGATATTTTCATCAGTCTTAGTATTAGCTGCTCTGCGGAACTATGCCGAGCCTTACAAATGTAAAATCAGTCGTAACATTTTTTTCTAGGGCTTAACTGGTAATCGGGTCGCTCAGTGCAACAAATATTCTCATTTAAAATATACCGACTCGCTGCTGCCTCATTTGAACATTAGGAAAAGGTTACGACTCATTTTATAGTAATTTTGCACTAACATTTTTACTCACAAAAACCTTTATAACTCCTCGCCCAGAAGCCCGCAGCAGATAACAAATGTGGATTTGGAGTCAACGTTCCAAGCTCTAGAAGTCAGTGTACATCACATCTCAAAAGGCCACTTCGACCAACCTTCCTTCCCTTGTCACTATTGAAAATAAGTTTTACAGACCTTCCTTCCTTACTGAGGAGTTCCGGGGAAAATCTGTAAACACTTTTACTTCGTCTAAGGGCAAGAACGAAACGTCTTGTTGTTGTTTAGACATTGTGAATTGAAAACCTTTTCTTTTTATTATTATTAGGCGATAATAGATTGGGCGATGATCATGAGGACGTGAGTTGTGAGCTCGTTGTTCGGCGATCAATACAAATAAGAACCTGGCTCAAACTTGCATCTACTGCACTCTTTCTAGTGATTGCAAATTACGAAAAGGAGCAAGTAAGTTGTCCAACAGATGCGCGAGAAGTGCAGGCAAATGCAAGAACTTGCGCAACATCGCAACATTTCTTTCTTAAAGAATTTGCAGTGCACATAGAGCACTATTTTCGTAATAAACGTGTCTGAAAACCTCTATGGGAAGTACTGGGTCAATCCAAAATCAATTTTAACCGAATCCGTCGCTGAGATTTTGCCTGAACGGTAAGAAATCAAAGGGCCCGTTCTTAGACAACTTCCGATAGAAGATATCTAGCTCGCTGGTCACGAAAACACACCTGCTTTGCATTATCGTTTTAACGTAGGGTTACGGTAAAATCTGAAAGATATGGATCCTTTCAAGTTATACCGGTCTATCTTTCGCTCTGAAAAAGAGATCTCCGCCTATCCGCAGCATGTAATAATCTCAGCTCTACCAAATCGTGTTTACTAAAGTCTTCCGTGTGCGTTTTGAGCTGCTTTACACAACTGCGAAGAGGCGTCCCCACAACGAGCAGACTACGGAATAGCAAGGTAGTATAGCACAACGAAAGATCCGCCTTGACAAGCTGAGCACTAGGCTTTTCCCAGATTTTTTATTCTATGCAGTCCGAAGAAAATTTCAGTTTTTGCGTTTTTTGTCGAATATTAGTGTGGGTGTGTATCTCGTAATATTTTATGAAAGAGTGGGTCCGAATAACGGAAAAGTACCGAATTTTTTAAAATGAGACCACCCTTTTTCAATAATAGTTTGATCCACAGTGAAATACTTTTGGATTTGATTTTGTCAACGAGAATTTATGGGCGAATGGTAGTTCGTGGTACAAGGTCGTCGTAATTGCTGAAAAAAAGATGAGATGCCGTGGTCCAGAGTTAGATGGCACTATCGCTCGCACTGTCGTCGCTCTATGTCGCTTCGGTCTGGACGTATTATAATTCTGAGGGCACTAAAATGAATCAGCGCAACGCCACATCTAAGGCCTAAGGCACGCCTCCCGCCATCCCAGTGGCGTCGCGATTTCCAACTCGAATATACGTTCCGAGTCCGCAGCACACGCGCCTCCATCTGTGTGGTCCCGCCGCGTCTGTGTTAGATGAACGCTGCGACGTATCGGGGGCCATTTTTGGACGAACATCTCTCAGCGGGGATATCGTTGCGAGTGCGCGGAAACTCAACGATATCGCCGTCGCTAGGTCTGCACCAGCGATGAACAAATTGCTTGAACGGCTTCTTTTTTGTGAGATGTTTTGTATCTTTTTGCAAATGCGAATTCCATCTAAAACTATACCAACTCATAAATGCGCTTCCTCTTGCTTGAGAGAAGGATGGTCATTGAATTCCATACTATTAATCATTGAAAACAATGCATGCACAATATATAGTATGGAATGCTTCCACTTACCTAGAACTCTGTGTTAAGATTTACTGTTCTTGCAATGCACTGAACTTCCTTTTGTTGTTTAGCAATAACAAGTAAATGGTGACCAAATCTTGAATGTTCTTGCTATAATTTCTGAAGCAGAGTAGTTATGCAATCTCAGTTGCTTAGGTATATATGCATGATAATTCGCAGAATGGAGACAAGAGCTCGTGAAACACTCGTTGTTGAAATCCTACCTAAAGTTTTTTGCAGAGCTGAAAGCATGGCCTTACTGTAACGAAGTAACGTATATGCCTACCAATGGTTGAAAGAGTGAGCATAAAAGTGCATGAACTAGTGGCCATTTGCATTGCAGGGCTAACTTGCGCCGGTAGGAAAACTTTGGTAAATCAGGATGTGAATCCATATCCTCCCTCGTTTGATGGAATGTTCTCTGGCATATGGCGCCACATTCTGATCGAATTTTCTTGAATAAATGCACTTTAAATAGTTTAGCGCAAGTTTTAAAAGTTCGTGCGATGTGAGTGTGTGAGTGTCTATGAAATCGCTTTGGCGGTAATCAAATGATGGGGGATTTTCGCGCAGTGAACGGTCGTTCAAGCAGTCAAGTCGCAGCGATCGAAAATCGTAACGACGGAGTCGCTGGAGGTAATAACATGCCTCATGCCTTAATAACAGCATTAAGCAGAAATTTATTTACGTTTTGGATCATTTAAATATAAAAAGGGGGAATGAGCTTGAGTGGATGGCTGGTTGGCCTACATGTTTCTTGTTCAAAGAGGCACCAATACAGCAGTCCTTTTACTGAAGTGTGATATGTGCGACAAAATTTGACTTATTCAGCAAAAGGAATACTTTTCAACTGCAATTTTGCAGCACAGACATACGCACTTATCATTTTGACCCCAAAAGAGCCGTGCTTCTTCCGTCAAAGGTGATTTACTTGTTTTATATTATCATTGGTATTAACAATTTTTGATTTTCAACGTGTCGTTCTCGAAGGAATCGAAGGAAGAAAGACCTAGTGATTGAGAAGACTGAATGCGTTGAAGATGAAGTTGAAGGTATTGAGGAAGCTTGATGCTATTGTCTAATTTTTAGCTGTAGTTGTTTTGCTCCGAATCTTATACTTGCTGCTGTATGTGCATCTCATTTCGATGTTACTTAAAACCTGCTTGAAAAAATAAATCATGTGGTTTTGTTAATGAATTTCATGACGTAAGACTGGGTTTTACTAGCAAAAAAGTAGCAAGCGTGAGAAATGGGACCCAAAGAGACCAAGGGCTCAAGGTAAGTGAAAATTGAGGTGTGAGAGAGGGCACAGAGGACGCAAAAAACTGTTAATAGGGGCGTAGGCCGCGTGCTTTGAACGCGACCGGAACATGGTGTCTCCCGCAGGTGTTCCGATTTTGTCTGGAATGTGTCCGTGTGTCTTTTGTCCCGGAACAAAACCAGGTGTCCTAATTTCGTCCCCCGACACCGATTTCGGGAGTCGTGCAGGCATTCCGTGACGACTTGTTTTTCCTACGCGACTCAATCGCGAATGTCTGAGATTATTTAAAATGCCTTTCGACTGAGCTTTCCTTAAGTAATCATAACGAATTAACTGAGTCATTTGAAAGCTTCAAAACAATCATGATACTTTCATTAAATACGAGTTGTCAGTCACATTCCCTGATAGATGTCGAAATTCGTGTTGATGCGGGTCTCTATGGACAGGACAATAAGATCCATGTGTTTTGGAGAAGCATTTAATTAAATCATGAAATATGACGATGCACGACACTCAAATTGTGGGAAGCAGAAGAATGGAAACGAAAAGTCAGCGCTGTTAGGCAAAAGCTGAAATTACGAATTTAACAAAAGTAATAGGAATTGTACATGTTATATACCCAAAGCACAGCTTGGCTTCTTTATTTGAGCAGAATAACGCACAGCAAGTACGTAGCACCTCCTCAATTGATGCTTGTTGCCCTAAAAGCCTTCAAAAATAAGGGTGTGGTAGTGCATGTCGCATCGAACTTAGCGCAAAAGGTCGCGTTCCATTATCTTCCAAAACTTCTTCGACCAACAAAGTAGCCAGGACTGCTGTTCACATAAAGTAACGAGTATTATTCGATTTCAAAAGCAACAATAAAACAAGTTACGTCCCCGGAAAAAATATACTTTGGACCGTCTACCATGTTGGTTGTGACCAAAAGTTTGCAGAGATTTTGATTAACGATCCAAACAACAGATGTCAGTTCAAAAAATCGAAAAACTTGATTCAGATCATTCATTGTTTGGACTCTCACATGGGGTTAAATTATCAGCGCCAATTAATGCAGACGTGTGTTCTGGGCATACATACTCGAGGGACCAAATCTGTATGGCACACGGTACAGGATGTGGTCATGTAGGCGGCGTAGCAGGAGCAAATGCCTTGCCGCCATATTCGCAGTAAATAATTATGAGCGCGGGCACTGTGGAGAGAATTTGGCAGGGATCCAGAAAAATTTGGCAAAGAAACTTAGACAACCGTAAAAGAACAATCTCTGTAGTTCTGCTTGGCTAAACGCAGGAGTACTACAAATGGCAGTTTTGGAATCCGCCTTTCATAGGGTTTATTTATGAAATACCTAAATGAATTTCAAAAGAAATCCCGGCCAAAATTTTTATGACATTTCTCTAGATCAGAGATATGGAAGGCAAAAATATTAGGTTGTTGCAAAAATAATGTCCATTTTTCTAGGCCTATATCCCAAACAACTTTTTTCCATCAAACTTTCTTTTTCGATACAAATTCTGTACATCATCGGAAAGCTTTCTTTATGTACTTTCTAACGTTGGTGGAATTAAACTGCTATCTTCATATGTGAGAATTTCACCAGTATTTTGCGCATCCGCACTAAGAATCCGAATCATGGCTTTCACCTTCTTGACCACAACTCAGAAGTAAATAAACGAATTCTCCTGAAAACATAGCAGTTGTATTGGATGAATGTTATTTACCTACTGCATGCTTACGCAGATTTTTGGAGATGTATGGGCTAAGAAATTGAGGCCTCGAAATATATACTTGCTGCTGCCATTCTATGGGTCAGAATTTTTCATGATTAAGGCAGTTGCCAAAGCTTCACCCATTTCTCTAAGCTTGAGTCTAGCACACCTTCACTACAATACTTAAAGAGAAACTTAGCGATTCAATGCGCGAAGAATTACAAATTTTCATAATTTGGCACTTACAAGCCTGCAACAAGTAGGCTCAAAAAAGTGAACATTTTCGAAGTTCTATATTTTCTTTGCGCAGAACTCCTTTGTTGGAGTCTTTTCTATACACACGTAAAGTTATGGCTTGCGGCTACAAAATAAGGTGATTGCCAGCCATACGAACGAAACTTGAAGGGAGTTGTAAGCTCGTAAAGGCGAGGTCTTCAAACGAAAACTCCAGTTTTTTGACGCATAGTCTTCTTCCCGTTTGCGATATCAGTATGAACAGATAGCTCTAAATTACGAACGGTTTTCTGTTTTTGACCGTCTTGAATGCATTCAAAAATATGAAGATTGAACAAAGTTAGTTATAGCCTTACAAAGTGAAAATAAAACAAACATTCGTATATATTTACTTGAGCCGATCACCAAGATTATAGCACGCTTTATTCAATCAGGCTAACGTTTTGGTGCCTTCACCTTCGTCGGAGCCTCGGCTGTCTTCGAATCGGGGTCGAGCCACCATTAAACACAGCGTCTGCAAAGTCAGTAGACTACTGACGCATAGTCTTCTTCCCGTTTGCGATATCAGTATGAACAGGTAGCTCTAAACTACGAACGGTTTTCTGTTTTTGACCGTCTTGAATGCATTCAAAAATATGAAGATTGAACAAAGTTAGTTATAGCTTTCCAAAGTGAAAATAAAACGGACATTCGTATATTTTTTTTTCATCCGTCTGCAAAGTCAGTAGACTACTGACTTTGCAGACGCTGTATTTAGTGGTGGCTCGACCCCGATTCGAAGACAGCCGAGGCTCCGACGGAGGTGAAGGCACCGAAACGTTAGCCTGATTGAATAAAGCGTTCTATAATCTTGGTGATCGGCTCAAGTAAATATATACGAATATCTACATCATGCCAAGATTTATCAATAATCGAGCCTGGAGTCTCTTAAAACGGACATTATTTTTGCAACAATCTAATAGAATTAGCATTCAATATGAAGGCTTGAGTTGATAATTTCAATTCACAAAATTGTTGTACTTCTAACAAACAAGTAAGAATGTTTATTAGCATTCAAAAGTTTTAAGACTCATTAGCTTCAGAAATCCCGAATTTCAGTCTGACTGATCCTGCTAAATCCTCGCAAGCTCCAGCTTCATCGCCTTTTTTGAGATTGCACAGGAGGCTAACTATTACTATTATAATTTGAGACTCCGTATAGGCTCGGATTCATCGAAGTGGATTCCAAATAACACAAGGTTCGAGAAACAAGAATTATTTTTTACATTTTTTTCACTATTTCATTTTGATTTTTAAACAAAAGCGTTTGAATTCTGTACGCAAATATGGCAGATTACGCGTTTCCTGGCTATCTTGCGCTGTGCTATGCATGTTAGTTTGGATTGGTTCTTATCACTGCTTTGAAGATGAATTTTTTGATCAAAAATTTTTTTCGTCTGAAATCATAAGGCAATGGGTGTGAGATTTTGACTGAAAACCAGTAATTATCACTATTTCTCAACCAATAAATGCTCCTTAAAATGCAGATTACAAAACTGCCTCGATTTTTTTTCTCGAGCTTTCTCTCAAGCGAACTTTTGAGCATTTTCAAGAATCTCCCTAGGTTTCCTTGGAAGTTTTCCTGGAGCCTCGCCGAAGCTCTAGCGCAGTGCTTTAATTATCTCTTGCGGACACAGGCGGGTAGGCCTCTGGTTTTTCCTGCGCGTCTTCCGGTCATGTATAGGACTTTTAAAACTATACTAGTAATTTGTAGAAACGATTCCACCTTGGTGCACATTTTCTTTGGCGTTGCCCCCTCTAGTAGCTGACCTCGAGTAAAGATCACAGGCGGCTCATTTCGCAGTGACGATGACGGAAGCGCCCAAGTCCTCCTTTGAGTGATTAAAAGGTCGATATGTCAGCGTTTTCCTTTCAAACAATCATGCGCCGTTTGCAAGTTATGGCGATGTTGCAGTATGACGTGTTTCTTAGAGTTTTTGGTGGAATCGAGGTCGTAATGAAAAAAACTTTATGGGTTGTAGAACCGTTTCAAGTAAAATGATTCTTTTTCGATAAGGCAAATGTATTTTTGGAGATCAGGCAAGAAGAACGCAGCCAATTTTTTTGTTTCTAACATGCCGGATCTTGAACAAATCTTTCTGGGACCTTAAGCAGTGATTGCAATAAAGGAGGTTGCTTATAGTTGAGAAAAGTGACTCACTCAAAGCGTTTCACTTTGAAAAAAAAATCGCTCAAAACTTTTCACAAATTTTACCAATTTTTTCATCTCTTTTTCATATCTGGGGTGACCCATAGCGTATAATGCGATGTCATCAGCAAGTTCGTACTCTATTTCGCAAACGTACTGAAAAAGTCGATATCATACTAAAAGTGGATGCTCGAGAGAGATTGCAAAGAGCTCTAACAACCTATTACCCCAGCATTAACCTTTTCAAGTTCTTTCTTCAAATTTTCTCGCTGTTTTTGAGGTTTTTCTCAAGGCAGTTGTAGGGTGCAGCGCCTTTACACAAAATCTGAAATTACTATGATGGGCAGATGCTCACAAGGAAATGCGACTCACGCAAAGTATGAAGTACAGACGATACATTGCTGCTGGATACCTGATTTGCCTGCATTTAACCATCTAATCAAAACACTGCGTTCTCATTCTAGTAAAAATCCTGTCCCAAGTCACCTGTCTCAACTGTATTATATTCATTCGCATGCCTTGCTGAAGTTATCATCAAAACATGATTTTACAGTTCTGATTGCACATTCCAACTGTACATTCTCTTAACTATATTTTGCCTCCACATTTCGTGTTTAGAAGAATTGGACATGGGTAGAGTCCATGCAAACGCAAGCATTCATACAATTCTGTACGAGTTTATGCAAGCTGTTTCTACACTATATTTTTCTTATAATTTATCTACTCTGGGCTTGGGATGATTTGTGGACTTTGTTGAGTTGTGTGTTATGTATGATTAAATCAGGCTGCTGCATAAGTTCTTTCCGATTTGAATTTTTTGAGTTCACAATGTCATAACTTCTTTCAAGGTCAACTTTTTACCAAGATCTAAGTTTTTGTGTGCTGAGCAGTTCCTTGGCTACCAACGCTATCAGCACATATTGAGACTTACGAAAAAATCATTGTTAAGGAAGATGCAAGAACCAAAAACTTTACAGCGTTTGCCTTCAAACCTGTCCTTTTTGACGTGGCAGTGCTCCCTGAGAATTGAATAGAGAACGAGAACGAAAATAGGCATCTTATCTAATAATGGATAGATAGAGAAATTTTCGTAGATTATTTTGCATCATAAAAGAGCCCATGGAATCTGCGCTGGGAAGAGATTTTTTGACCGAGCAAAAAAGAAGCCGCTTTTTGACCTTGCTTTAGCACATGTGCGCATGCCTAATTACGAATCTTATATATAAAGTTGAATGTCTGTTTGTTTGTCTTCTGTCTGTGTGTATGTATGTCTGTGTGTACGTATGTTTCTAATAGAAAATTCCATTTCCGAACCGATCCGGACCAGACTTGGCACACATACACTTCGGAGCCGGGCGGGTGTCATAGGCTACTTTTCGTCATCGATGGATATCGATTTTGTCGATACCGATTTTTATTTTGTAAAGTTTGATCTACGGGGCTGGGAGTTGGCACAGGGAGGTAATTAAGCATGCTGATTACGAATACAATATTAGCCTTTGAAATTAGCCATTACTTTTATCGATTTTATCGATTTTTTAAGCAAAGTCTGAGCTACGGGGCTGGGAGAGTTGGCACAGGGTGATAATCGAGCATGCTGATTACTAAAACAGCGGGAATAGGGAGTTGGAGTTGGTTTGTACAAATGGGCACAGGGAAAGATTATACAATAGGGATGGGAGCTTTATCATAGTGTTTTAACAGAACCGGGCAGAGTCGGGTAAGTCAGCTAGTTATGAATATTTTACACTTGAAGTGAGCGCCGAAAAGGAGTTGTTGGATGAACCCTGCTAGCTCTTGCGTCACCCTAGCACCTCCAACGTTGAACTCATCGATTACTTCTATTCGCAGAAAGTTAATGCTTGTACACCTACACAAAAAGTTAATGTTCGGCAATAAATTTTACCAGCAAGACGTTTTCTTTCCGAAATTGAGCTTTTGTGTATACGAGCCTTCTACACTGTTATTCCGCAGCCAATGAAAAACTTGACTTGAAGAGCGCACTGTTGAGATTTTCTCGCAAAAACATATTTCTTGGGTACCTCGGCCACTTGAAGATTTTGGGTCTGAAATCTCCTTACACTAAGAAATTTATCGAAGTCTATATGCGTTAGAAAGAGAAAGAAAAGCACTTTCTAATGATACTAACAGTATCGCATTAAAGACGAATCTCTGAGAACAGCTGTTTCAAACATATGGCAAAAAATCGGACAGAATTATGCAGCAGCCTAATACTTTTTTATCATGTGTTTTGAAACCCCTTGAGTGTATTGAATGAAAATGAAATGAAATGAAATGAAAATATTGCCCTAGTACCTTAGCGGATCTGCTGTGATAAATTTATGCTATTCCGAAGCAACCACTAATTCGCTTATATGTTTTCTTGAACTCATTTTAGCACAGCTAGTATTTATACGCCACAGTCTGCAACAGCTTTTCGTTCTTTTTCGCTATTGAAACTATGATACATCTGTCAAATTTTGCTCTGATCAATGCCGGGGAGCCTTTCTGGCAGTTGGGCATTATATTCTACGAACAGGCACTGGATGGGTAAGAGAACGAATGCTGCTAATTTGGGCGGCCTCCGCGGACTAGTGGTCCTAGAACGACATGCGACAACATTGCAAAATGGACCAGGCGCCGCGAAAGGCAGCCCAAGTTGGCGGCATTCGTTCTCCTACCCGCTCTGGAGTAGTTTAACAAGGAACATTAAACGCTTTAGAAAGCCTAGCTGCTTCCTAGTATAATACACTCTTGATTTTTAAAAACCGCGGCGGCCGCTGTAGCGCGGCGTTCTTCAATTTGCCTTTCCTCCGTGCTTTCCGTTACGGACGATGAACGGAATACCTCTCCTAACCGAGTGCTGCAACTTTTTATTCATAGAACTGCCATAGCCTGCCCAGGACAAACTGTCCTGAACTTTAGGTATACGGTAGCTACTCAGTTTTCACAAATTTTTCAGATTCTTACTTACAATGAGGCGAATTGCTTGAAGTAGTAAAAATAGCATTTACCCAAACATGTGCTGGTTGCACATTGTATTAATAATGTACGGGTACAATAAAACGATTACGTTTCCTGGATTGAGAATGGCCGCATAAAGACGGAAAGAACGTAAACAAGAAGCTTGAAAAAAGTGCCTATCTTTTTTTTTTTTGATAAAAGTGATCCTTTGAGTGAGATCATCATCTTTGAACAAGACTGATGTATTAGATTCATGCACGATAAGTTTGCTTGAGATTCTTAAGCATCGTTCTATTGCGCCATTCATCCTCCTAGTTGCTTTCCCAGTTCATGTCAACTGTGGTAAAGAAAGCATTAGTAATCTTTATTTCATAGCGTATTTACAGAAAGTCAAGAAAATAGATAATGACTGTCAGCCGTATTTTTATGACAATTTTACAAACGCTGGAAAGCCAATAACAAATTCAAGTATGGCTTTTCTATGGAAAATGCATAGAAAACGCGCAGAGATCACAGGGAATTAATTTGCAAAAAAACTTTAGAAGGCGGCCGACTTCTTTTTTACAGCACCCATTTCAATATCCGCATCGACGAAGTCCACTTGATCTTCCTTGATGATCTAAAACAAGGGCCCTTGGTGAAGATTCTGTAGTAACACACTTTATAAAGTCTAGTTCCGGGCGAAGGCGGATGCTCTGCAGAGGGCGCGAATGCGCCGCGTGAATGGACATCCTTCTTCTTGAATAGACTATCGTACCTGTGCACTATTGCCGCTTGTTCGCAACCGAGTGAGTTCCTGTCGAGACCAAGCTTGTGTAGATACAGAGTTTACATTCTGAAGTAACAAATTATCACGGATTCCTTGAAGGCAAGCAAAGCGAACCAACAGGGTCATGCGTCATATTCAGCAAAGGTTCCCTTATTTGCGGTGAATCCATTGGATCTAACAACTCGTCATCTCTTATGACAGATCGAGTATTTACTAAAGATAGGGATTTGTAATGTAAAAGCTTAAGTCAAAAGGCAGACAGACCAAAGCTTTTATTAAGTACTTAGCAGCTCCGCGAATTCCAAGGACGAGTTACACAGCAAGCCAGTCGTCGAAACTCCGTCATTTGGAAGTAACACAATGGTTGACAGACAGTATGCACACCAATTAAAACCTAAAACTGGTATAAATCGATGAAACTGGTTCTGATTCTTAACCAGTAATACCATAATCATTGAATTGAATTGAATTGTAAATAGTTGGACACTTTTGGAAATTTTTTTTTTGAATTAAAAAAATGAACCTTGCAAAAGAACCGGGAACCTGGCACTCACACCCCTCATTTTGAATCTCAGATTCAAAGTTCTGCAAAAGCTTGGGAAACATTCCAGAAAGTCTTTCGGAAAGCGTCAGCAACGCCAGGCTTCTGCTTTCTGAAAAAATATTCTCTCATCTCCCGAAAAAATTTCTTGAGCTTCCACCAAGTTTCTTAGAGAAAGTTTTGCAATGGACACTGGTATTCTTTTCATGGTTACAAAACCGTACAAAGTCTTGGCGTTTTTTAAAAGCAACTTGCTTTGAGCTACGACTTTTTCAAACATTCTACGGTTTAATACATATTTATTGGTATAGAAGTTATTCGGAAACTTATAGCATGGTAGACATAAGATTCGGCTTTCTGAAAAATTCCAATTTACTGACCTGTAGCCACCAACGTATCAATGTGCTGCTATGCGTAATCTCTATCAAATGATTGGGTGATTGTGTAGAAAAGCGACCAGCTGAATTCCTGAGTATGGGTAGAGAAATAACAAATCCACTATCAATACTGTTCCAATCACATAAATATACTTATGCCGGCCTACAGCTTGCATCCTAGAACAAAAAGAAAAATTATTTTCAAAAATACTTGTGTTGTTAAGGCGCTCCCTTTTTTCCAGAATCTGAATCAGCGACACTCATAGCTCGTTGTCTTTGACCATGTTCGTTGCGAATAGTACCATTTTCATCCTTGAATCTCTTGATTGTGCGAAGTATGAAGGTGTAACATACCTGTAAGATGCATTTGCGATGAAAAATGTTGATCAATACGTCATTAGACATGAATTTCAAAGAAAGGCTCGTCTGGTGGACTTTGCTTGATGAGCTTACGGTAGGTATACTGTACTGGTTTGTAACCCATAACGCTGAAGCGTTGCATAGGAAAGTTTTTTCATATGCTTATCACATGATATCAAAGCTACTTATAGGCTCACTCTTTTATATGTTTAAGGCTACGGTTCACAAACTTCAAAGGCAGCGTCCCACCAGACTTGGGGTACTTGACTCTGGTAATAATGTATAGTAGACCCCCTAACTAAGCGACGACAGAAGTTTGCAGCGCGAAAGGCGGTCTACGATCTACAAATCCCCCCCCCCACACAAGTAGCCCGAATCTTACGGTAGGCTCGGGCGAGTACGAAATGCATGCAAGGTAGAGGTGCAGAGTCGTTGCGGGACCCTGCGCTCATAACTGTGAGCGCTATACGCGCTCTGGGCTTGCAAATTGATATTGCGGTGTGGGCGGCGTTTGGGCCACCGTAAGATTCGGGCCACTTTCGGAGCAAACTTCAGGGTTGGTAAACCCCCTCTTTCGCTTCGAACTTTAGTCATCACTTAGGAAGGGGGGTCTAGTTTACAACGCCACAAAAACTCGGCACCCATTTTTTGCCGGGACGCTGCCTTTGAGTAGATTTATCTTGACACCCGGGAAGGAGAGAGTCATCGTAACGAGATTGCCGTTATGGTGTTTAAAAAGTCGATTGACGAGGCTTCAGCGAATTCTATAGTATGGATTGCTTACCGTACACCTACCGTACTACTAAAAAAATAGTATTCAAGAATTTCAATATGTAGAGATGGCTAGTATTTAGTTCTTTACTGTGGATTAGGAGGCGGTAGCAAAAAACTGCTTTGTGTTTTACGCTGCAGAAAAGCTTTTTTGTAGGTGGAAGAATTGACGCTGTTGGACTGCGTGATATTTGAAATTTGTTTAACAACGTTTTATGTGTTTGCTAAAATCGCTGATCGGTTTTCCATTCCTGTTAGAAAGTACTGCACTGAAAAAGAAAATTTTTCTGTAAGATTGTGTTCGTTGAAACAAAAGTACAAAAAGGTCGAAATATATGCGGCTCTTGAAAATTTTTTGTTGAAACCAGTTTTCGCATGATATATCCTACTGATGATTAGAACCCCTCCCGTTATTCCAATTCCCTAACGAAGGCATTTATGAGCCTGAGTGACTCCATTCTCTAATGCTGCATGGCTACTCGCCTAATCTCAACATCAGCCTATTCACCTTAGCATTTCTTATGACTTATGAACTTTTTACTTGCAGGAGATGACGAGGAGTTTGGGCGCTTCGTGATGTGGGATTATCGCCTTTTTTTAACATATTTGGGAAAAAATGAGAAGAAACTCACCACCACTATGGCTAATACCCCTATGCATAGTACAGATATTATTAACATGTTGAGAGTGGCAATATCAATGTGCCAAGGCTTGTCTGCAAAACAGGGATTTTGCGGAGGCTTGGCGGAAGTTTGGCGAAACTTTGGCGTGGAAGCTTGACGAAAATTTGGCGGAAATTTCGAAAAAGCTTACCTGAATCTTGAAAACATGGTGAGGATGGTGGAACAAGTACCCTATTTTCAGGTGTATAAGCCGCGGGGTGGTCCTAGCTTACATCGAGCAGCCCGAACACATCAATGGACCACGCATCCAAAGGACCCTATAGTGTGCTGCGTATTGCCTGAAAGTATCGTGCGGTATAAGGATCGCTTCTCGAAACACAATGAAGCGGTTGAGCAGCCCGGGCGAAAATTTGAAAAAGTGCGGCTTATACACCTGAAAATAGGGTAATCCTAGACCCATAACAACGCTCATCATCCAGCTAAAAATCGAATTTTGGTTTGACATATTGTAAAAATAGAAAACAATATAAAACCCTACCAGAAAGCTAATATTGCTAGAATTGCTCCACGGCGAAAGTACGTACGATAGTGCAGTAGATAACGAATCACAATGAATTCATTTGTGTTAAAGACAAGTAGATTGAATATTGTCAACAAATTACATATGCGTAGCACTACGAGAGCAAATGTTGAGGCCTGAAAAAAATGCTTGGGTTAATTTTCTGTGAATCTTTACTCAGTGGTTCCCAAATTTGTGGAAACATTAACTGCGTTTCGCGACTTAATGTTTTCAGCAATGCATTTTTTAAGGATTCTGAGAAGCTTCCTAACTTTTTGATAGTTTTTTAACCTCTGCAAAAGAAAAGAGTATACTTGAAATTTTTCGCAAATTATTTGTTAGTTCACAGTCAACAAAGTTACTAAGTATAATCTCAGCAAATCTAAGAGTGATCAAAGCTTATCTACTTGTACATTGCGTCATCAAATTTTCCACTCATTTTGATCTCCAAAGAAGAGCTAAGAGCACAGAAACTGCTCTTATTATAAAATCATATTCTCCATACCTCTTTTCTTATCTATCAAAAAAATACAACCATAAAAAAAAGTTCCCCCACAATGATCAGTCGCCTCATCGTGGCGTGGGGGTGACACTGGGTGTCGAACTGCGATGCACAGCCGAGTGTATACTCTGGTAGGGCCTCCCAAGCTGTGAAGGAGTTCGACGTTTCCGTTTCGGCCGGATGCCTAGCTAAGAACCGGCCACGCCAGATCCCCCGCCGTCTGGCTTCTTCTGGTCGCTAGTCGGTCCCTCCCCGCTCCAAGCCCGGGGTCAGCAATCGCCCCGTGGAAATCAAGAGTAGGCCTAGTAAGCCACCTCTTGTAGGGGAAAATTCTTATTACTCCTCCAGTTAGAAAATTAGAAAGAAACCCTGCACATCGTATCCCGCCTACGGCGCCGGGTGGTAGCAAGAACGATGTCAGGGTATTCAGGGCACCTTTCGGATTGGACAAAAACGACACGTCTGCCCGGACGACACGTCATGTAGAATGCCTCATGCTCTGCACCTACAACGCCAGGACAGTCTCCACAAACGCCGACCTCCACGCTCTACTCGACGCTGCAGAGCACATCAAGTACTACATCATCGCCCTGCAGGAAACGAAGTCTAGGAAGAAAGACATGCGATGAATGAGTAATGAGACATCTATTATGCGTGGTGAAAAGGTTCCATCACGAAACGTGGGAGGCGTCGGCTTTGTCGTTCAATTATCTATCGTCCATCTTGTCGATTCGCACGAGATCCTATCACCTCGACTAGGCACCCTACGACTACGCCCTCCACGTCAGAAGACCATCAGCATCATCAACTGCTACTCGTCAACATCAGCAGCTGACGACTCAGAACTAGATGCTTTCTACGAAGACGTGGAGGAGGTCGTCCGCAACGAAAAGTCCTTCTACAAGTATGTTGTGGGCCGACTTCAATGCGAAAATCGGGATGCCACTAGAAAAAGAATATAGGATCGGGAAGTTTGGATATGGGCTCCGAAATGAAAACGGCAACCGTCTCGTTGGGCTCCTCTCCGCCGCACAACTCTTCTACGGAAACTCCATCTTCATGAAGAAAGAACATCGCCGGTGGACTTGGGAATCGCCCAACGGAACGACTCTTGCTGAGATCGACCACATTCTCGCCAACCGAAGGTGGAGCTTACTCGATGTCTCTGTAGTTCCATCCTTCTGTAGTGGCTCCGATCACGCCTCCTTCGAGCGAAGATGCGACTCAGTCGAAGGCTGGAAAAGAAAGTCTGTCACAGTACCGCAAGAAGGAACAATGTCGTTTATGACGGTACAGGCTGGAAGAGCTCATATCAAGTTGTGACTGGCCCATCGAGGAGGACCCAACGTACGACTACGACCGGCTTTTGAAAGGATTGCGAACCTGCGGAGAGTGCGCCTCAGTGACTTCTGAGAAGAACTTGAACCGCATCTCGAAGACCACCAAGGAATTGCTCGAAAGAAGAAGATCATTGAGGCAGGATCCGAATGCAACTCATCTCGAGCGACTGATAGCCAACGCCAGTTGCAGAACAGCTTTGCAAGAGGATCTCAGGAAGTACAGGCAAGCCAAGATACTGGAAGCAGTCGAAAGAAGACGAAGTCTCAAGAAGTGCCGAAAGGACCTCTGCGAATATCACGTACCGCTGGCTGCACTACTGAACAAAGACGGGACTCCGACTTCTTTCCGATACAAGATGGAATCTATCGCGAAGAACTTCTACACCAACCTCTTCCGCTCATCAACACCCGTGCAGATGCCCGTTGTTTCCCACTGGAGAAGTACCACCACGAATTCTACCTGCTGAAGTGCGTATCGCGATACAAACCATGAAGACGTCCACGGCTCCAGGACCAGATCATCTTTCCGTCGA